TTCACTCGGAATTATTCACTAGTTCATGATTCCCCTACCTTGACTTGGGTTGATTATACCGCCATACATCGGAGGTCATCTGACCTTGAGATTTTGCAATTTTACTTTCATGTTACGTGCCCGCTAGGATGCAGCACAGAAGCGCAGGAGGAGCTCTGCAGGTTGATCACACTACCCGAACGGAAATCTCTCTTTTTCCTTTTACGGCCAAAGTGGTGACCCCGACGTGATTCTGTGCAGCGTCTAGCGCGAACGTAACTTGAAAGTGTACTTACGTACTCGCTACACTTTCTATTTACTCCTGCGATGTATAATATTTGTGATTGCTTGTGAGGAGACGTTCTTCATAGTTATTTGATTTCATACTCTTATTATTAAACAAATTCGTCTTCTTCATAACGCCGTAAAATCATTTGCTGAATACAAGCTCTCTAGTAGTAGATGGATCAAAGATTGCAGGTTTTTTTATACAAAACTGAAGGGAGAAACGAACCTACAGTCCATCTGTGGCAATTCATGCAATACTGCAATCCATGAATAACTGCAAATAACTTCAAAAAAAGAAAAATACAGATACGATGTTTGCTAATTGGCGGTAGAAATAGCAAACATCGTATCTGTATGTAATGTAATCATCGTATCTATGTAAGGGAATGGTACCTGCCCTTTTTTTTGACGTGGGGAAACGCCTACACATACCTGCCTCGCGGGGGCAAGGACAAGTTATGTCGGACTTGCACCGAATAAAATCCCATGGTGTTCCACCTTCGCCGCATATTGGCAGGGCCACGGGTACACTTTCGCACACATCCGCGACCTCAACAGCGCCGGCCGCCACATGGCAGCCTCTTCTCGGGGGAGGACCTCTCCTCCCCACTCTCCTTCTCAGGCAAGGCCCACCAGGAACACAAGACGCGCCCCCATCCACTGTTTCCAACTCCACCTGCGTATCGGACCCCCCGAATCCGATACGCGGAGGCCATGGGGCCAGGAAAATCGAGTGAATAGTAGCACCCGCTTTCCCGACCCCAGCGGCGGACCTGGTCTCTGGCTCCGCCGCCAACCAAGTTTCGGCCGCGGAGGTTAGGGAGGGTGGCGCCTCGCAATACCAACACTCCTCTCCCCCCGCAGCCCCACCACCACCGCATCAACGGTGCCCCGTCTGAGTCGCGGAGGATAGGGCGAGTGGCGCATCGCTATACCAAAACTCCTCTTCCTCCGCGACTCCACCTTAGCTGCAGCAGTAGGGGGAGAGGACACCCCTCTCACCGCAGCCCACTGTCACACGTCCGAAGTGGGCTCGCCAAGCTCACTCGGAGTGGCCACCTCGGCCGGCCCTACACCACGGGCCAGCCAAGGGGTTCCTCTTTGTTCACCGCGGGTGACCAAGCCACGGCTACTAAGCCCCCCCGCCACGACAAGGCGGGAACCCGATCGGGGGGGGGGGGGGGGATACCTGCCCAGTCGCACTCCTTGGCAGAAAAGGACTCCTGAACACCAGACGTTACGCACCTTTGATGCTGCTTCTATTTGGTGTTCTGGTTATTTCATGTCTAGCACATACGAAACGATTATGCCATCTATAGAAAGCCAGGAAACCTTCATGGCATTGAAATGCCACCACCACTTGAAAAACAATACATTAATTAATGGAAATTAATAATATTTACAGATTGTGGATGATTTGTTTGCACTTGCGAGAGCAGGCGTGAAGTCTTACGATCGGATTTACAACATCCTGTCGTTCCTTGAGTTCGAAGACGCATATGCGCCGTGGATTGCGGCCATTAATGGTTTCAATTTCGTTATAAGGAGGCTAGCACATTATACAACAAACCTTCAAAAGTTATACGTGAGTAAAAATATATATACAAAATTGAGAGAATTACAGGTTTTGGAATTTGGAAGTTTCCATCACACTGTCTTAATACGAATTTGTCATTTCTTATATTATATTTTTTTATTTTGAATGCCAAATTTATGGCAAATCTATAATTAAATTTTAATAAAACTGGCAGAATTCCCGAGCGAAGTTCCAGAAGTTCTTATCACGGCAATCACTGCCTCTTTTTGAGTTCAATTATTTTAGCGCGGCGAATTATTGATGCGGGATTAGGATGAACTTCCTAATTATGATGTCCTGAAATCCTTTTAAGGATTTCTGCGGAACTCAGGCGTACACGCTTGTTATTGACGCGGTGATCGATTATAGACTGAAGGGGTAGCGGTCAATCGGAAGTAGGAAGGCGACCAATGCGTGAGTGAATGAGTGATTAGCGAATGTAATAGTTAAACGAGTGTATGAATAAAATGGCCAATCTAATTGGTAATACCACGACATAGTTCTCACGTTATTTCAGGTTTGAACTATTCTCATTATAAATATTATCAGCCGGCGGTAGTCCACTGCTTGACAAAAGCCTTTATCAAATCGCGCTGCTTAACCTATTTAGTTTAAACCATAGTTTAAGAACACGACTGAAGAGAGATCAGGCGCAGGACCAACGGTTTACGTGCTTCCTGAATCCAGGCTGTACTGAGAGTTTCTTGACAGAAAAAAGTTAATAATTGTTTTTTTTACATGACTTGAGATTCGAATCCGGGACCTCGTGGCCAGCAGTTGCGTTTACTACAACTAGACCAACGAGGCATTGTGTGAACTATTTTATTAACTTACACGTTGCCCTTAATAATTTATCTCCATATCACCGCAGGACAACATAAAATCACTCAGTGTAGCAATCACTAGAAGGCTTGGTTATTCCGAAATTACCGGGGAGTCATACATGGACGGTCTACTCAGGATGCATGTTCTAACGTTCCTTTGTAATATTGGTCACGAGCAATGTGTATCCGAAGCAAAGAGAAATTTCCAAAATTGGAGAAATGGTGAATTGTAAGTAATTTAAAAGTGTACGTAACTAAAATAATTATCAAAGCTTTATCTACACTCGCTGTTAGAGACGTATTCAAAATATATACAATCTTTATCAGCCCGTATGGACATGACCTGGACATAAATCTCTTTTCTTGTAAGGAATACGGAATATAAATCTTTATATTTATTCTCAAACTTGGAAGGTGGATTGACGATGATCGTAGGTCGGGTAGTAACTGCGAAGTAGAGTAAGAACTGCGAAAGGTCTAGAACATCTCGCAATTTTTAGGCTAATACCCCGATACAGGTCTGGGTTTGTACGCCTGCTGTAAACTAGATATCGGAAGAAATCGAAAGAATTTATACGTGTTAGATCGACGATGCAGCTATATTATGGTTGTAGCACGAATGGGTCGGCTCGATCGGAGTAGGGCCACGCTCTCACAGATACGAGCGTAAAATAACAGCTAAATGTTGCTGTGTTTTGTATGGTGAGTGTAGAGAACCGGAGACCCCATTTTACTAGAACCGAGATATTCCATCTTAGTCCTCCGGGTTGACAACGCACCTGCATTTTGATTCTTAATTAAGGGTAGATTTAATGTCTATGAGCTTTAGCATCTACTTACTATCAGGTGGACTGTGGGCTCATTTGTCACTCTTAGGTGTTTCTATAATAAAAGACATTAGATTTCCCATGTTTTTCTCTTACATATGAGATTAAATGGGTGATGGATTCGTATACTTTTATGTCGACATGATACTGCCAAATCTTCTCTTCTTCTACATTTATCAATATATCATCCTGCATCTTCTCAAAAGAATACATTAATAGTCTATGTAATAAGCATACAGCTAATTTTCACACATTTCTCGAGTTGAAGTTTGTGTTGGTAATACGTCTATACCAATTCTGGTTTATTCGAACTTCGTTACTTCTTATTCTCATTATTACATTACTTTTGCTGCACCACCTCACATATGTTTATCTCTGCTTAGCCTAATGGTTGACTGGGAGAGAATGCCTTAAGGCAATTAAGTCCGCCATATGTACGATTTTTCTTTTGTACATAAAAGTTTAAAAAAATAAAAAATAAATAAATTAGGGTATCCACGATTTTTTCAGCCACCAAGGTGGCGCCGCTTTCGAATGTGGTGATATATTTTAAGGATTTCATAGCGGGGAAGTTAATTTGTTAGGAAAATGTAAGGGATAATGTTTTTTTAGGGTTCCATACCCAAAGGGTAACCAACGGGACCCTATTATTAAACCTCCGCTTTCCGTCCGTCTGTCTGTCAGCGGGCTATAGCTTATGATCCGTAATAGGAAGACAGTTGAAATTTTCACAGAATGTGTATTTCTGTTGCCGCTATAACAACAAATAATATAAATAATAATAAATTAAAATTACATTGGTTTCCCTACTCGAAAAGTGTTTTACGATGGTACGGAACCCTTTATGTGCGAGTCCAACTCTCACTTAGACGGTTATTTTCTATAATATTAGTTTTATTTTATAATTATCTGATTGGAAACGATAAACCAAACTCGGTGTATTTCTAATAGTAGAAAAATAAAAAGAACATTTAAAAATGTGCAAGAACATAAAGATCAAACTACCTACTAAGGCATTGTTTTGTGAATTAATATAATTCTCTAGAACTGAACTGATAAACATTTATTTAAAACTAACTTCTCAATTAAATGACAATAACAAAAACCTTTACCTCAGTCCCAAATGGCTACATCTGATAAGCGAAAGATTATTAGTCGTCATTAACTTGGTATTTTATTGCAGCGTTGCAGCAAATATGCGTCCCTGGGTATATTGCGTAGGCCTTCGCGAGGGAACCGATGAAGATTTTACACATTTTTGGAACCGCTACTTGACTGAGGACCTTGCCAGTGAAAAAATTGTGATGTTGGAGGCAGCTGGATGCACTAACAATGAAACCAGCTTATGGAGATACCTGGATGCTATTGTTGCCCTTGATGATGCAATAAGGGCTCAGGATTACAATACTGCATTGAATTCTGCAGTGTCCGGCAATGAAGCTAACACAATGAGAATGTTTGAATGGTTGAAGAACAATATTGCTCCAGCTACTACAGCGTTAGTATATAAGTTATTAATTATAATTTTTTTTAAAAACGTTACTAGAATTTTCTCCTGTGCCGTGGAAGCAGTTTACAAACATAGATCGCACGAGGACAAACATCCAGACCCGGAACAATTATTTGTAGGCCATAAAAATACTTGTTTCTTGCTGGATTCGTACCCGCGGCCCCCAGCGCAACAACTCATTGCTAAGCCAATGCGCCACGGAGCCGTGTAAAGTAGAATTCCGTCGAATTGCAGCGCTTGCACTACTGTGTTCCGGTTTCAAGCGTATAGAGATCTAGTATAGCTACAGGCTGTGAGGCCCTTATCATCCCATGGAGATCATCAATGGCTACAGAAGGATATGTATCAGGCAATGGGTTGGCGCGGTTGCCAAAGCGCATGTCAAACGTGGTAATTATCACAAATATACCCGAGTTCTGTGTTCAGCAGTAGAATTTTAATGGGCTGTAATGATAATGCTAAATGGTACTACAGCCGGTACACACCTGCAACCAACTTCAAACGAAGAAGACTAGAGGTACGTTGTGATAAGAAGGCATCAATTCATCATCATCGTCATCATTAGAGCCTTTCATAAGTCCACTGCTGAACATAGGCCTCCCCCAAGAAATGCCACAAAGCACGGTCCTGAGCCACCTGCATCCATCGACTTCCTGCATATCTTACCAGGTCGTCACTCCACTTCGCCTACCGGTACGAGGCTGATATTCAATAACTTTTCTTCCCCATCGGTTGTCGGTTCTTCGAGCTATATGGCCGGCCCACTGCCACTTCAGCTTACTAATCCGTTGGGCTATGTCCGTTACTCTGGTTCTACTGCGGATATACTAATTTCTAAGTTTATCACGCAGAGAAACCCCTAGCATAGCCCTCCCCATAGCTCGCCGAGCGACCTTGAGCTTGAGGCATCAATTATGTTTTAATAATACAGGCTCTCAATACCTAAAGTGGCACGTAATGGGTAAAAGAGTACAGTAACTACGAAAATAGAGTCTAAAGCAGAAAAAGGACCGGAACGAGAAGAAGGAATTGAAGATGTATGTGTTCTAAGTTCAGAAAACTTGTTGTTTTATCTAAAAATTTACAGAAGGTTGACAATTTTTTCAACAACTATAAGCCAGTGTCTTGACTAGTATCCCATCTGATGGGAAGTGATGATGCAGTCGAAAATCCTACAACGCATTGACTTGGCTTTAAAATACTGTTCACTCTTATTTATGACAAGCCCACATTGTAATCAGATGGAGAGGCAGATGCTGATAAACTAAAAGTATACCTTTATATTGCGCTACGCCTTAATAATAACAAAGCAGATCCTGTTAAACTACGAGTATCATATAAATTAAAAATCTAACATTTATAATTTTTCTACATCACTGTATAACTATATTTTCTTCTACATGTTTACATATCAAGTGGAAAGAAAAGTAGACCAGTTTCTTACGTGGTAGAGCCATGCTGCAGCTATATTAGTAGTATAGTTGTAGCACGAATGGGTCGGCTCGCCCGGGACCAAGCTCTCACAGAATACCAGCGTAAAATAGCAGTTTAACACTGCTGTGTGCGTATGCTGAGTGTAGAGAACCGGAGACTCCTTTTACTGGTAAAGAGGCATTCCATCTTAGTTCTCACGGGCGACAACACATCTGCATTTTGATTCTTTATTGAGGATAGATGTGGATATCTATGGGCCACAGCAACCACTTACCACCTGGTGAACTGTGTGCTCGTTTGTCACCCTTACCTATACAAAAAAGACCAAGTAAAGTGTTAATCTCTTTGCTTGGCGTAGATCTTCACTGATAGCATCAAAATTATTACAACCCTTCACAAGTCCACTGCTGAACAAAATCCTATTTAATATATAGCCGTAAATAATATACGAGTTAAAACAATAACTACTTAAATAAAATAAGGATAGATACACCTTGTTTACATTGTAGAAATTATTTCTAGGTTGTACGAGTTTAATTTTATTATTATGTATTTGTGTTATCTAACTGGTTTATATTATTATAAAAACTTAATTAAAGAATTTTATATATTATAAAATTAATAACTAGGACAATGTTTTATACAGGTTAGGCAGCTTAGCAACCCCTATTAGTTACATAGCTGGACGTCTTTTGAATGAACAGCAAATCACAGAGGTAAAAATATATTTTATCACTTTTAAATACTTTAATAGTAAAATGTATCTTTCTTTTCTTAAATTTTCATTAACCTTAGGATTAGGTAAAAGTATATAGCTCAGTATTAATTTGGAGTTTCTTACTAGAGAAGCAAAACCTTTAAAAAACTGTTAAATAATTCCTAATGACTAACGTTGTTAAGTTGCGTAGGCAAGAATTTGCCTATTTTTTAAGGAGACTTCTGATCATTTCTTCAAATGTGAGTTGTTCGACTTAGGGACGCATTAAGGTTCACGCTCGTTTTGAGGTTTTCGATACCGTCCTTAATATATTAACACACAATGTGACTACAACATAAATATTTAGGCAATACTTATAAAGAAGGATATGATTCGTAATAAGTATGTAATATCAAAATTGGAAGCTTGTCGGAGAAAAGTTTTTTAATATTAAAACTTATTGTGATATGAATTTCGGGATATTTTCCGCAATCTGATTGTATTCCTATTACTTTTAATTTGTAACAAAATAATCCATAACAAGAAAAAAAATATTGATGATGTCATCTTGAAATCACTGTTTACAAGATAATATACAACTGAATATCAAGCAACAAATAGTACCATGTAAAATCCTTTAATTCTAAAAAAGGGATCTAATTGCACGCGTTGCCATATTACGATTCTCTCTATTTTTTCTTAAGGTTAACTGTTTGATAATGCTTTAAGCATTAAGTGTGCCTTTTGAGTTTATGCATTGTGTAAGGTTCAAAAAAAAGTAAATAAATAGAGCCTATATAAAATCTTTCGAAGGTCACTGATGATTAAATCGACGTTCAAAACTCCACACCTACCTGTAGTTTAACGGATTCGGAAACACGGTTGACATTTTGTTATTGGCAGGCATTGATAGTTTATTGAATTATTTATTTAAATTTTAAAGAAACTTATTTTTTAAAAGATTTCTTTCATAAAGAACTCGCATGAAAACATTTAAATTGTTTCAACTGAGGAAAATACAATGTGTGTACACATATGTATAACAAATATAATTCTTTCGGTTTTAGAACGTATTTGATGTTAGTGTTAACTGTTAATATTTAATATCACAATCCTTGTTGATAGTAGTAAGCACTTTTTTAAGCTTATACATTACATTTCAGTTCCAAGCATGGCTAGAAGCAAACCGTGACGTTATAGGCACGGCATACAACACAGGTATTAACAGCATTGCTTCGACGAGGTCTAATCTTGAATGGTCTGCGAGACGCATGGGAGAAATGGAAAGATATTTCGAAGTGGGTTATGTCGAAGATATCATTGTCATTGACGGTGGTGAAGGGCAACCAGAAGTTGATGGTGGTGAAGAAACTGAAGAAAAAGAAGAAGAAGAAGAAGGTGAAGAAGGAGGTGGAACGGATTCTGCTAGCCTTGCTGTGCTTAGTATCGTGACTCTTGTAACAACTGTTGTCATTAATATTTTGGTTTAATTTATTTGACAATGTTTATATTATTAATTAATAAAATAAAGAAAACTAAAGAAATGCTTCATAATTTTTCCTTGGAAATATTACCCAAAAGATTAAATGTAAACGCATAAGAGTTCGTATATTTTATTAAAATATCCGTAGTAAAGTCTGGTAGATAATATTCGGTAAACGAAAACTCATTCCCTTTTTAAGAGGTTAATAGTGCTGGAGATGTCTTGTCTTTACTAAAAATAACCTAGATTTCTATCGTAACATGGCAACGTAAGATAACATACCACTCCATTTCGTACCTAGGGTATCTTAAATGACTACTATGGAGCATTCCAAAATGATCTCATTGCTTTTAATAGATGGCGGAATAAGAATTTTATTTATGCAATACATACAATTCTCGGACCGGCGAAGGAAAGCAGTCTCAAAGTCGCCTGCCAAGCGTGAGCATGGAAGAGGTCCAAGGTCAAGTCCAACAGTGGACTTTTCGGGGCTTATGAATTAAAAATTTATTTTAGAAATTCCACCGATGGGGATGATTATGATCGTAGTAATTAGTATAAAGTTAATGTACTATAAAATTTATAATCTAATATGTACTAAAAAGTCTATAAAGTTAATGTACTATAAAGTTTAATACGAAAAACTTAGTCAATGAATTTGCTAACAATAAAGTTAAAAAAATTGATAATGTATAGATAAAACTTGTTAAAAATGAAATAGGTATGTACATACGTCCTACGGCTGAACTTAGAGTTTTTTATTTATGACAGGTTTCCTCCGATGATTTTTTGTATCTACTAACACGTCGGCTCTTAAAATTGTTATTTAAATTCTTACCGGCGCTTATTCTCCGAGCTATCAACACCTTTAAAGAATCACTAATGATCCTAAAAGTGATTATAAGTATTAGGTTATGTCTGATTCCTGGATCAAGCTAAGACAGTCAAATTATTTGCAATTTTTGTCTTTAGTTTATTCATGAGAAAACCTTACACCTCGTAAACCTATATCTAAATCAAGTGAAATTGGGCATATTGACATTGTGTACTAGAGTAGTAAGGAAAATAATTCACTTTCAATTATTATATCAGTAATAGGAGAATTATATAGTACGTCTAGTAATGGACCATTTATAGAATAGTCTGTTACTATAGTCAACATAGCGTTCTATCCAATATGTTTAACTTTAATATTTGTCTTTCTAAAACGGAGGTGAATTGATTTGAAATCTAAGTAAGTATGTTTAAAAATTAAAGACAGTTAGAAGAAAATACATCAATCGAAGTTCATACGTACTTAAGTAGATATAACATTTCAAATATATAACTCAAATCAGTCATAATAATATAATTCTTGCAATTAATCACAAAGACATAAGTAATCAAAGATAACCTGATATTAATGTTGTAGATAATTTTATGATTTTGATGAACAGGATATACATATCAAATTTTATCTAATTTGTTGATTAAGAGGTATTATATTATCAAAAAATATAGCTTTTTAGTCGGTCACTTGACGCCGCCGTGACCACCATGGGTAAGTTGAACTATAATGTCTTAAAATAAATTTAAAGGTCGTATTACAAACCAAACACTGGTTTTACGCACTTGATATCAGTTTAGAATTATTTGTTCAACAAATCATAACCTAAAGAAATATTCTTGCGTCTTAAATAGAGAGAAAAGAAAATTAGCGAAAATTTTGAATTTAAGACACCTTAGAATGTTTAATTTGCGTATGATTGATTTCTTAATACTTCTCGCTACTCTAATACTTCTCTCTACTTTTGAAGAATTATTTTAAAATCCAAATTTCCGACAAATTTTCCAAGCGGACGATTCTTTTTCATTAAAAATGTGTATTGTGCGTTAAGCACCTGATCTTCCTCGACTAATATAATCATGTGCTAAGTTTTCGCTTTAAATTTGATAGCACTTGGTCTTACCGTATTTGATCCGTTATTTGCAATTTAAATTGCTAATTTATCATGTAGTGGGGCAGCGTGGCGGATATTTCCTTTCTCTAGAACCCTTTCAGTAGTGGGAGGAAGCCTGTGCCCAGAAGTGGAATGAATATAGGTTGTAACTATATTTTATTTTGCAATACACTTTAAAATTTATTGTCAACTCTGAAGGGTATTACGTTGTGGAATAGAAACAGAAACAGAAACTAAATAATCTATATTGAATAAAAAAAATTTTTTTATTCAATATAGATTATAAATAATACTTATTGAAAGTCACTCTTTTGTATGATTACCACTGGTTCAAAATGTAATACATATTATTTTTACCACGGTTTTATTAAGTCAATTTCTTGTTTGTCTGTCTATCTGTGTGTCAGTCGTTCCGGGTGGAATTGAGTAACTGATTTTAAAGTAACTTTACGATGAGTTGAATAGAAACTTGAAATTTGAATGGCAATGTAAGGATTTGATAAAAAGTGGTATATTATTTAACTAAAATTATTAAATATACATTATAATATTTCCAGGTACAAAAACGCTGGTGCCATTTATTTTCCTCTTAGTTGGATCACTTTCTGCCGATCCATTAGAATTTAGGTCAAATTTTGAATATCTGGATTACAGTACAAATTTAGATGATCCAAAATACAGACTGTTAGATACAGTTCAACCCACGGAAGTGTTTGCTGATCTTGACGTCTATTTAAGAGAATCCAGATTTAATGGTTTCGTACAAATTACAGTCAACGTAAGTATTTAATGCACATATTTGACTTTAATAATAGTTATTATAAACAGATTTCAAACAAGATTAAATTAAGAATATACGTATACGTGGTAGAGTCTGGCTATTTTAATGCTATATGGTTGTAGCACGAATGGGTTGGCTCTCACATAACATCAGCGTGAAATGGTAGCTTGATTCTACTGTTTTTCGAATGATGAGTGTAGAGAACCGGAGATCCATTTTACTGGAAATGAGGCATTGCATATTAATCCTCAGTTGTGACAGCACATTATACATTTACTTAAGAGAGGATGTAACTGTCTATGGGCCACAGTATCCACTGACTATTAGGTGGACTGTATGCTCGTTTATTACCCTTATCATAAAAAAACTTGACTGTCTTGTTGGTCTAGTGGTTGTAGTAGTGCGACTGCTGATCATGAGGTCCCGGTTTCAAATCCCGAGTCGCGCCAAAAAAATTAGTTATTGAGTTTTTCCATCAAGAAATTCTCAGTAGCTGCCCGGAGTCAGGAAGTTGGCGGTGTCTTAACCCCGTGCCTCGGAAAGTACGTAAAGCTGTTTGTCCTGCGCCTGATCTCTCTCCGGTCGTGTCGGTTTACCGTCCCATCGGACTTTGAGAGTGAGGGAATAGAGAGTGCACCTGTGCTTGTGCATACACTTGGGCACTATAATCCTGTCCTGCGCCAATGGCTAGTCTCCGTTGAGACTGGCCACCGTGACCGAAATTCGGTCTGGAGGACATTATAATTATTATAAAAAAAACACAACTTTAAAAAATTGCGTCAAAGATAAGACACATCTAGTGCGATTCGGCTGCTAATGCCACCGGCGATGACGGCTAAATCTCTCTACTATGGCCCAGGCCCAGCGTCGTGGTAGCTCAGGGGTAAGCCCCTAAAGGCCGATTTACACATCGACAAGTACAGTAGCAAGTTAACTTGTTAACTTGGCGAGTTAAGTAAAAATCTCTTTTGAACGACAATTAGTGAGTTAAGTAACAAATTAACAATTAAGTTGAACGGGATAGATGGCTGGTCTATTTTTCGACGAGTTACGTTCGAAGTGTTGCTCGTTCTAAAGCTCTTGCGTATGTTCCAAATACTAAGGACTCATCAAAATTGATCAAAAATGATTTATAGGCATTCCATTTTAGTCCTCAGAGTTAACATCTGCATTTTGATTCTTAATCGATGATAGATGTAGATGTCTATGGGCCACATCATCCATTTACCATTAGGTGGACTGTGTGCTCGTTTGTCACCCATATCCTATAAAAAGCGAGTAAGCTATTCTGCTTAAAAAAGGGGAAAAATTCCACAATTATCAATAAGTTCTAGAGCGCTGACGGTAACAATACGTTATCCGCTGTCAGATTAGATTAAATATTATTATTGATAAAATTTTTGATGGAACGTTGCTTATTTATTAATCATGATTAACAAGACATACAAAGAAAAGACTATAATTGTGTCCCGATGACACATTAAGATTGCAATTAAATATATATCTACAGTGTATTTGAAATTCTCTATTTTTATTTAATTAGATATTTTGAAACCAGCTTGTATCTATGTCGTCAGTATATTGTATAATTCAACATTATACAAACGTCGTCGTGTCGAACTGTTCGCAACAACTCGCTAGTTTGTGAAATTACTAAGGCTTGTTGTAAAGTGTATTACAACAACTGTCCTATGAATTCATTTCTCATTCGCCCACAAAATCCCCCGTAGTCTGATAGGGGAATATTTGCCATATTACACATGCCAACTCGCTTACCAAGAGTGATGAGTTACCAAAAGTTGGCAACCAAAGTTTTTTTTTATTATTTTGAGCTGTTATCAAGAAGACGGTGTTGCACATATCCTAATTAAATGTTCTCTATTGCCTCTTACGACACCAAACGATTTTGTGGTTCATACTATACTCTAATCTCTGTATGGGTTATAACGCGAATGGCTAAGCTAAGTATAGTTATTTTTTTCACGATGAAGTTTTGACTTTGGTTGTTGTTAGTCGTGCACATACATATTGTGTTAGTGTGCGTAGGCTGCGGGCGCTCGGGAGTCGCGCTCCCGATGTCTACGCACACTAACACAATGTGTATGTGCACGGCTAACACAACCAAAGTCAAAACTTCATCGTGAAATTGAATAACTATAACAGTTTGATTGAATGTTTATTTTTTAGGTACGACAAAATCTTAGTCAAATTGTCTTGCACCAAAACGTGGTGGCAATACAAGGAGTGAATGTTTTGGATTCTAATTCTAAACCTGTACCACTTCAAGCGACCAATCCGTTTGAAACCGACTCTTATTACGAAATTTTGAAGATCAACTTCGATGGTATACTCGCTGTTGGTACATACGTAATCAGTATCAGTTACTTGGGTCGTATTAATGAGAACCCTCTTGATCGTGGTTTTTACAAAGGTTATTACTATTTTGGGAATCAGAAGAGGTAAATATATAATTCATTTACAAAGAAGCAAATTACGTATGAAAATCTATTCATTAAAACATTGCATATTCATCAGTTCATAAAAATGCTACATTCAAAATATCTGATTGAAAAATTGCGTTATTTTTTCTTTTTATTGCCTTAATCTTTAAAAAAAATTATAAGTATTTTTCTCTATCAATTGGGAAAATATCTTCTATTGCATAAAAATCAACTTAAAATATTATAATTTAAAGAGATAAATCTTTTATAAGGACTAGTTTCTTGGCTATTATATGACTTTCAAATAAATTTGTCGATGTTACCGTATTTATAACACTTTATAACACTCAACTTAAATGAATGTATATACAACCGACTCTCGTTAATTTACTGGTTTCAAAGTACATTGTTGCTGCTCAGGCTGCTAAATAACTTCTTCCTTTCTCTCTGCAACTTTGAATTGTCGAGTGTTTGACGCCGATGAGTTCGAATTAACGCGTCGTTTTCTTACGTAGCAATGATATTTTCGTTCGAATTACCAAGTGCATAAAAATGTATTGATTTAGTTCTAAATATAAAGAGATTTTTTTTATTTTTTATTTTATTTATTAACACAATACAGTTTACAGTTGTGGAGATAAAAGTTTCTTAAAATTAAATTCTTAAAATTTTGTAAGGAACTCGTGATAACTTTGAATTATAGAGAGGTTCGAATTATCACAGGTTTGAATTAACAAGAGTCGACTGTATCGTTCCTAATTAAATGATATTATAATTCTTCCATATTTAAAACAATATTTCCACAACTATTTCTTCTGCGTTAGCAAAGCGCCGGGTACCAGATAGTGTAATATATTATTTTTATATTAGATTATTATGGTATTTACGGGTTATGGTGTTTATATTTTTTTAATTTTTTTAGACAATATGCAACCACACAGTTTCAACCTTACCACGCGAGAAAAGCTTTCCCCTGTTTTGATGAGCCGCAGTTCAAATCAAGATTTGTTATTTCCATAACACGAGACAGAGACCTCAGCCCGTCCTTTTCTAATATGCCTATCTCAGAGACCTCAGTGTGAGTACGACTTTTTAAAATTACACTTATGTATGTTAACTACATGCAGTTATACAGTTTTTGTCTTCGGTTAATAAATAACAGTGTATATTTAAACGTGGTAGAGCCATGCTGCAGCTATATTAGTAGTATAGTTGTAGCACAAATGGGTCGGCTCGACCGGGGAAGGACCACGCTCTCACAGAATACCAGCGTCAAATAGCAGCTTAACACTGCTGTGTTTCGTGCGGTGAGTGTAGAGAACCGGAGACCCTTTTTACTGGAAAAGATGCATTCCATCTTGGTCCTCACGGGTGACAACGCATCTGCATTTTGATTCGCAAACGAGGATAAATGTAGATGTTTATGAGCCACAGCAACCACTTACCATCAGGTGGACTGTGTGCTCGTTTGTCACCCTATCCTATAAAAAACAAAATATTTGTATATATTTCTTTATTTTTTTTTTAATTTTAAATAAATTTTTCAATATGCTTAATATAAACAAAGGATTAATGTAATCTGTTTTATTCCACAGGATTTCTGCTAACCGCATACGGGAAACATTCTTGCCTACTCCATTAGTATCATCATACCTTGTAGCTTTCCACGTCAGCGACTTCGTTGCCACAAACAGTACCTCTACAGCTAGCAAGCCCTTCCAAATCATCTCTAGACAGGGACCCATAAACCAGCATGCATATGCTGCCGAAATGGGCTTGAAAATAACAAACGAAATGGACGCATATTTCGATATTGGATATTACAACATGGGTCAAGGTCAGCCCATGAAGAACGATCATATCGCTCTTCCTGATTTCCCATCAGGGGCTATGGAAAACTGGGGAATGGTGAATTACAGGTACAGAATTAAAAAAAATGTTTACGTAAATTTAAACTTTACTTTAACTAATAGTGTGACGGCTACTAAAATATGAAACATATTCTTTTCAAAAAATAAACTGACGTCTAATGATTGATTTACTCCTTGCCTTTCTAGTACTTTAAAATTTTAAACTACCTTTTATACAACAATTATTTTTATTAAATGTATACAATAGTTTACATGTATGCTTATAAATGTAGATAACATATACAAAGTTTTGCGCTAGAAAACAAACCTAGGACATGTATACTAAATAATGAATTCATATAACCGTTTTGTATTTTAGGGAGGCCTATTTGTTATACGATCCTAACCACACTAACCTAAATAGTAAAATCAACATTGCCACTATAATGGCCCACGAACTTGCTCACAAGTGGTTTGGTAATTTGGTTACTTGCTTTTGGTGGAGCAATTTGTGGCTTAACGAATCATTTGCCAGTTTCTTCGAGTACTTCGCCGCTCATTTTGTAAGTTAATAAAAGTTTTTTTTTAATTGATTATAAAATATTCACATTTGTTTATGAACCGTCTTATGCCTTGTTATCTGAACTGGATAATTTTTCAGGCTGACCCGTCTCTGGAGTTGGATGAGCAATTTGTGGTTAGCTACGTACACAGCGCATTGTCGTGGGATGCTGGTGCTTCTGCAACCCCAATGAATTGGTCTGCGGTCGTCGACAACCCATCTGTGTCCTCTCATTTCAGTACTACCAGCTATGCTAAAGGGGCATCGGTGTTAAAAATGCTCGAGCACTTCGTTGGATTCGAAACATTTAGGAATGCTTTGAGAATGTATTTGAAAAACAAGTATGCAAAAACTGACTTTATTTAAAATTATTTGAATTATTAGTGATGAAAAGGCTTTGTGTATTTTGTTGGTGGTGATTATTATGTGGCCTTTTCTGTTGAGGACTCTATCTCAGTAGGATCACTCTTATATATATTTCAGTACAACCCCTATTGTGTTCTGGTTTAGACTCTTAACGAGTATCATAACCGACTGTGAAATATTTTATACCTACCATGTTTGGAAGACTATCGAGATTACAGTTAACTTGTTATTCATTTTTATTTTATGGATACAACATTAGAGATGGGTGAAGTCATCCTCACAATTCTAAAGTCTGTACGTCTGATAGTCTGTACTCGGAAGAAATTATTAATTGCATTACCTAATATTAAAATATTGCATTGATTAATACTGTCCTATTTCATTAAATTTATGTGCTCAAAACAAAAACACTTTCAGGTCATATGATATAGCATATCCTGAAGATATGTACGCGGCATTTAGAACGGCTGTATCTCAAGATCCGACTTTTGCGAGAGATTTTCCAAATATCGATATAGGTCAAGTATTTGACAGTTGGGTGCAAAACCCAGGATCACCTGTGGTTAATGTTTATGTGAATATGACTAGCGGTGAAATTATATTGAATCAGGTAAGTTTCAAATATGAAAGTATATATATATTTTTATCGCCATATTTAAATATAATATATGCCGTCTCTACCGCAGTACATTTTCGTTTTTTTTTCATCATACAACAATAGAAGTCTGGTGAAAGATCATCCTATAAACTATTTATATATAACGTTTTTTTTCTTCGTAGGAACGTTTCCAGCTTACTGGCACACCACCATCCTCTTTGTGGCAAATTCCAATTTCCTGGACACACAGCGGTAATATGAGCTTCGAAAACACAAGGCCTAGTTTCGTACTGACTGAAAAGTCAGCCGTTATACGTAAGGACCCTGGCCATCATTGGGTTATGTTAAATATTGGTCAATCTGGTAAGTTAAAGTCTTTACGAATAACCATTTTTTTAACTCTTTAATCTATAAACTATATATAATTATTTTTATAAAACTGAAGGTACACATTTACAGACCCCCCGATGGTATGTGGCTAATGGAGTCCATGGACATGTCCAACCGAATTCTAACTATTCTAATCCGTAGCATATGCTGTAAGAAAAATTAGAAGTCTCACAGATGTTGAGACAGCTAGATTGGTGTATTTTAGTTACTTTCATAGCGTAATGTCTTATGGAATTTTGTTATGGGGTAATGCGACTGATTTTGAAGCAAAACAAATATATTTGTTTTGCAAAAGAGAGCCGTACAGGCGATTTATAACCTAAATTGTAAAGAGTCCCTCGGATAAAAATTTAAAGAAATAACATAGAAGCATACAGATGTGTTGTCACCTCTGATGACTAACATGGAATGCTTCACAGCCTGTTATTATACAGGCTCTCTGTACCCTTTAACTACAGTGCAAGCACTCAGTAAGTGGTAAATATTCAGATGAACAACTAGGCAGAAAATACTATGAATAAAAATGTAAAGAAGAATATAAAATAAAATTGAAATGCAAAAATAGTCATTATAATAATAATTTCTTATATTTACGGGAACACTACACATTATTAAATTTGCCAAAAAATTACTTTGCGTACATCCGCTAGATAAAATAAAATGATGTGTCTTACCTAGTTTGAAGAGCATCTCCAGCCCTCTCTCAATTGCGTGCACTATCCTCGTCACCACTAATCTCAGCACCACTACTCCCAACACCACTACCTAGGTAAGACACACCACTGACGACAATACGACACGTGTAGAAGATAGATATAGGCTTATTAGCCACCGTAGAGTCTACATCTATCTCTATATATATGAGTATATTGCTCGAAACGTCGGGAACTAAAAAGTTAAAGTTAAACGTGATAAAATCCGTACAATTAGTTACATTTAATAGACATGATAATATTATCCTCATTTTTCTTTTTTTTAATTTACTATAGGTTTATACCGCGTTAACTACGATGACCATAACTGGGAAATGATTGCACCATACCTTCGCAATAACAGAAACAACGTCCACAAAATGAACAGAGCCCAAGTAAGATTGTCATTTTCAACTGTTTTTTATCGTCTATTTAAGTATTGTTTATGTAATACTAAGAGAAAGACCATATTTATTGCTAAACTTACATGTATTATTTGTCAATGCCACTTATGTAGATTTATATATAGATTTATAACCTACGTAATATTTACAGACTATTTATAGCAGCAAATACAATTGTTGACTTTATAACTGTGTACATAAACGCAAAGATTCGTATTTTAATATTTTTTATAATCTATTAATAGCAAAAATATATCATAATTAATAGTGACAGTGTAAAAATTCCAATACTCAATATCATCCCGTGGGTGTCATAAGAGGCCACAGAGGGAAACAAACCAGGAGATAAGCAGCAACATCTTGCTTACTCATAATATCTAGAAAATAGTAAACAGTTGCTAACCTGTGAAGAGTAACTATGGCTAATATCCCCATAAGAGGCAATCTATGGAATAGCCTGTGTGTAGATTTTGCTAGGGTGTAAAAAATGTATCATTACACCCTAGCAAATATATGATAGATGCCACGTTTGGCAGGCAAGTTGATAATCAAATGTTTTACATAGTAGAGCCATGTTGCAGCTATATTAGTAATATAACTGTAGCACCAATAGGTCGGCTCGACCGGGAAAGGACCACGCTCTCACAGAATACCAGCGTAAAATAGCAGCTTAACGCTGCTGTGTTTCGTATGGTGAGTGTTGAGAACCGGAGACCCTTTTTACTGGAAACGAGGCATTCCATCTTAATCCTCACGGGTGGCAACGCATCTGCATTTTGATTCGTAATCGAGGATAGATGTAGATGTCCCTGGGCCACAGCAACCACCATCAGGTGGACTGTGTGCTCGTTTGTCACCCTTATCCTATAAAAAAATCGCAGTTATTGTTCAGTTGTTTTTAGGAAGACGCTGTTGCCTCTTCTGTTTGGTTTCCTTTCATCGGCTCTTACAACACTCACGGGACAACACGGGATAGAGAATATTCTGCCACTACACGCTTAGTTATTATTACAACAACAACACACACAAACACTCACGTCTGTCACCCGGAGGGTAGGCAGAGACTACGGACTTCCATTTAGCATGATCCTGACACACCTCTCTCGCCTCCTTTACATCCATATACGAGTATCTACGCATACACGCTCGTCGGTTAAGGGTACTACTCCTAATCTGGCCCATTTTCAATATATCGTCAATTTGGTCGATAAACCTTCGTCTAGGGCGTCCCTTCCCGACTCTGCCGGTAATAATATAATTATTATTATAAATAGAATTATTATAAATAAAATCTGTAATTAATTTTCGAATGAGGGCATCCACGACTTTTTCTATCACCAGGGCGGCGCCACTTTACAGTGAGGTAAAATATTTGACAGATTTCATAGCGGGGACGATAATTTCTTAGGAAAATGTAAACGTATTTTATATTAATTAGATTAGAAATGAATAATCCAAACTATAAATATAGCTAAAAGTTGAAAAATTTAAAAAACGAGTTATAAAGTGAAAAAAATAAAAAAAATCTAACCACTGACGCATTGTGTCGTATATTAATATAATACTCTAGATAATGATAAACTATTATTTAAAACTAATTTCTCAATTAACTGACATTATGTAACAAAAAATATTACCTCAGTCACAACTAGCGACATCTGGTGAGTGGAAGAATATTAGCCCTCATTGTTATATTCTTGTACACAGTTGTAAAGTCGACCATTAACATAATTTACAAAATAGTTATTTTTCCACTTTAATATGATTACAGATAGTAAACGATGTTTTGTTCTTCATTCGTGCCGGCACTATTAGCATAAGACGCGCTTTTGATGTTCTTTCATTCTTGAAAGACGAAACTGATTATTACGTCTGGGCCGGCGCACTCGGGCAGTTCGACTGGATTAGAGGCAGACTGGAACATTTGCCTGGCGCCTATGAGGAATTTAATGTACGTACCTTTATATCGACTTATTAATGCTTGATCAACACGCTGAGGTTTTATATGATTGTAGCTGGTAGAACAACTTTAATTTTCATCCTCTGTAAAGATAAATATCAATATATGGTTTCTCTGAGAAAGCATTGTAAGAGTAAAGGCAACCCTTCATAGATTTGGAGATGGCCAGGTCGTTACTTACTTCATATAGTACACATACCTATATATGTAGTAACGATTGTGCAGCCTATGGTGTGGTGTCAGGAGGCTCAGTAATAGGCTTAAGGGAAATATATATTTACATAGAATAGAATGGAATACAAAGGAACAATTTTTACTCAATACTAGCGATCCGCCTCGGCTTCGCATGGGTGATTTCTGGATCGCAACAACAGCGCCACATACCGGGTTCAATTGTGAATCTACACCATTCAGGGACCCACTCAAGACACACCAAAAATTCACCAAAATCAGTAGACCCATTTTCATACTTCAGCGAGACTAACGGACTGCAATTGATTTTTATATATAGATATATATTACAAGAATATTTGTTGAAAGTCATTTTTGGGTTCGATAAAACCTCTATCCTGTGAACAACTAGCACAAAATAAAGCGGGACTTTCTTAACATTAGCTAAATTTATGTTTTTGTGTGTATCATCAACACAAGCCTTTCGCAAGTCCACTGATGAACATAAGGCTCCCCCTGAGACATCTTCAGCAAAAATCATCCTGAGACTGAGGTACCAAAACTATCTAATGGGAGACGCCTTACACTTCGGGTCACCGGTACGAGTTTGCCACATATGAACCTTATTTTACAATCAGTTATCGGTTCTTTGAGATACATGGCCGGCTCAGTGCCTTTTTTATTGTGTAGTAATTCCCATGGAAACCTTCAGCTAGGTTAAAACCCAACGGTGTTCACCATCAGGTTCACCATGACGGGTCCCGGGATCACCGTTCGGAACGCAACCGAGGCTCCTATATATATATATCTCTCTCTCTTTACTAAAGCGGTGATGATCGGCTCAGTACCACGTCAGCTTACTGATCCGTTGAACTTTATCGATTACATGTGTGTATATTAGTTTAAAATTTAATTATTTGAACAGACATACTTATTGGACTTGATGGAGGCTGCTATTCAACATGTGGGATACAATGAGCGTTCAAATGACTCTACATCTACTATCTTAAACAGAATGCAAATTTTGAATTACGCTTGCAATTTGGGCCACGAGGGCTGTAAAGCTGACAGTCTTGCAAAGTGGCAAGCTTTTAGAACAAACGAAAGCAATTTGTAAGTTATAACTTAATTTTTAATATTACATTTTTATTGTATCTATCTCTATAATGTACAAGTATGTATCTCTTCACCGTGTAGTTTTTTTATAGGATAAGGGTGACAAACGAGCACACAATCCACCTGATGGTAAGTGGTTGTTGCGGCCCATAGACATCTACATCTATCCTCGATTACGAATCAAAATGCAGATGCGTCGTCACCCGTGAGGACTAAGATGGAATGCGTCTTTTCCAGTAAAAAGGGTCTCCGGTTCTCTACACTCACCACACGAAACACAGCAGTGTTAAGCTGCTATTATACGCTGGTATTCTGTGAGAGCGTGGTCCTACCCCAGTCGAGCAGACCCATTCGTGCTACAACTATACTACTAATATAGCTGCAGCATGGCTCTACCACGTATAAAATAAGCACGTAAGTACGTAGTAAGTATGTACGTAGTGGGGTAAGAATATCCACCATCCCATATCATCCCGTTGGTGTTGTAAGAGGCTACAGAGGGGAACAAATCAGGAGATGGGCAGCAGCGTCTTTCTAATAAATACTAAAAATAAAAAACTGCGGTTGCCAACCCGCTTGCCAAGCATGACAACTATGGCAAACAAAAAAGATATAAAGAAAGAATATGCCAACTGCCTTACTTGTCTTGCATGTCGTAAAAGACGCCTAATTATATTTTGGGCTGGTGTAGGCAATGGGCTAGCTAGCTACCATTTTTCTCACAATTGACCGTCTATAGTCGTATTTTTGGCTACTCGTGATCCGAGCTGTACGATGCTCTTAAGAATCTGCGTACATCCTCGGAAATTATAGGCGTGACTTAATTTTAAACGCTTTATTTATTTTATACAAAGTAAAGGTGACAAACGACCACACAGCCCAGCCATGATTATTGTTCTTCGAGCTACATGTTGACTCACAGATACACACATCTGTTCTCGATTAAGAATTAAGGTGGACCTTATTTTGCCAACCCTGAGGTTTAAAATGGAATACCTCATTACTAGTAAAAAGGATCTCCGATTCTCATCAGTCACGAATCACAACTGTAATGTGCTGCTATTTCGCGGTGGTATTCTGTGCGAGCGTGGTGTTTTCACCCCTGTCCTTTCTCCGGTTGACTCATTCCTGTTGCAGCTGTAGTACGCTGCAGCGTGACTCTGCTACGTACAAAAGTGTTATATTTATTTTTATACTAATATAATTAATAGAATCAGGCGTTACTTTGCGGAAATCCATTATATAAAAGCTTTTAGAAAAATTTACTTCGCAAATGTCCGCGTTATGAAATAAAATGATGTGTCTTACCTAGTATGAAGAGTACCTCCCGCCCTCCCTCAATTGCGAATTGCGAATTGCGGGGATAGTGCACGCAATTGAGGGAGGGCGGGAGGTGCTCTTCATACTAGGCAAGACACATCATTTTATTTCATAACGCGGATATTTGCGAAGTAAATTTTTCTAAAAGCTTTTTTTTTATACTAATGTTTTCAGAGTGCCTGTGAACGCCCGTCGCTATGTCTATTGCACCGGTCTTCGCGAAGGTGATGCCGCCGACTACAACTTCCTGTACCAAAAGTATAATACGTCTGAGAACACTGCTGACATGGTTGTAATGCTGCGTGCCCTCGCGTGCACGAAAGATCGAGCATCTTTGGAACAGTAATTGATTTTTTAACTTTGTATTATTAGTTATTGGATTTTTCTGTCCAGGGATTCTCAGTAGCAACCTGGAGTCAGGAAGTTGGCGGTGTTTTCACCCCTGTGCTTGGGAAAGCACGTAAAGCCGTAAATCCTGTGTCCGACCTCTCTCCGGTCGTGTCGGATTACTGTCCCATCGGACTATGAGCGTGAGGGAGTAGAGAGTACACCTGTGCCAGTTGGGCACTGAAATTTCGTCCTGTGCAGAAAACTTGTCTCCGTTGTGTCTAGACGCCGTAACCGAAATTCGGTAAAATGGTGGTAAAAAATTAAGAATTATTTATAATCCATGTTAAAAAAAATTGTTCTATTCTCTTCTATATTACAATATTAAAAAAATCTTCACCTCTAGTAATGCTAAGTATACAGAGTTATTATGCATTAACCGGTCAACCTTGCAGAGAAGATTCAGAATAAGTAATATAGGCAAATGGTGAAGAAAAATTAATTAAAAGTAATCACGAACATTCTGTCCTTTTTATCTTTAAAATTCAAAATGCGTGGTAATGCATTATTTTAACTGATTGTCATTCATAAATATATCACGCTTACTACTTTACTACGCACGCACACATTCGTAAGGGCGGATCGGTCGGAAAAAACGTTGTGAATTGAATCGCACACAGAGGAGAGCGCGTACACGTAGTTGTTGCCCATAAATCACATTCAGTTTGGGATAATTTCAAATAAAATTAGAAGCCTTATTTACCTGTATTTTCAAAAACTGCAATAACGGTATAACATTATTTCGATATTTGAACTTGAGTTTAAAATTTGGCTACTTTTTAAAAAATAACCGTGTATTGTCAACTTTATTAGGATCCACTGAAGTTCATATTAAACATGTTTCTTATACACTATATGTTTTTAAATATGTTTCTAATTGTATTTTGTTAAAATTGTGTAGCTATTATGTTAAATTCTTCACAACACACTTAGAAATGAGTGATAGCCAGTGCCCCAAAAAGGGACGGCTATAGGCTGCTTTAAATTTTATAGTCCTACTAGTCCTACTATCCTACTAATATAATAAACATGAAAGTATGTATGGATATTTGTTACTCTTTCACGCAAAACTACTTAATGGATTTTAATGAAACTTTACAACTATATAGCTCATACATTAGCATAACACATAAGCTATTATTAATAAAGATATTGTGTAAATTGGTCAAAATATAACGGTAAATGTTAAGTAAGTCGGAGAAAATACGATGACTAAACACGCATCATGCAAAAACCTGTCAACCAATTTGGATGGGACTTTCATTGACAGATAGCTGATGTTATAATCAGTAACTTGGGCTACATTGATTTTAGGGTTAAAATAATTCCACGTAAGCGAAGTCGCGGGAAACAGCTAGTGTAAAATAAAGAGAGAAAAAATAATCAGAAACGAATTATATGCATACACTCGTAAGTTGAAGTAACCACTCAACATGGTTAGAATGAAAGCTGCTGTCAAAAATGAAGCGCGATTAATTTTTCTTAATGTATTACGGTGCGTACATATTATATAACATAACATGTTCCAGTAATGTGGAGACTGAATGTTATAAAAAGTGTTATATAACTAGAGAGTATTTTTCTTTAGTCAACAAACTAGGACGAACCCAGTATCTATGCTTTTTTCTTTTGTTATTTAAAAGTACAAGAGTTGCTGCAGCAGCTAGCAAAACGTCCTCTTGTGTCGACATTGTAAATAGCACTGCAGAACGACAATTGAAAATGTCATATAACATTGTTATAATGCATTGTTATTCTAATGTGTACAGTATTGTTATATGTTGCAATGTTGAAACATAATGTGGATGTGTTATAAAACAAAAGTTACAAAACATGTTACTTAATCTGTACGCACCCTTAGATCTGTAAATAATTCGTTGAAAGTCATGGGACTTTGTAACGAAATTTAAAATATCGGCGTTTAAGAAACAAGAAAAAATTTTATTACCTTCAAATGCTTGTACCAGTTGGTTACTCATCAGAATGACATAACTTATTTAATCATTGAATTGTTTTTTTTTCTTTTCAGTTACATGTTCCAGACCATGTATAATGACAGAATCAGGATTCACGATCGCACCAATGCATTCCAGTATGCACTACAAGGAAACAGTGAAAATCTACCTATTGTTTTGAACTTCTTATACAATAACTTCCAGGCTATCAGTAACAAGTAAGTTGATATTCAAAAATCACCTTTGCAAACTTTGGAATGTTTACTCGTAGTCGTGGTGTAAGAATATTCACTACTCCATGTCGTCCCGTGGATGTCATATGAGGCGACAGAGAAAAACATACCAGGAGACGGGCAGCAACATTTTTGTGTTCCTAATAATAACAAAATATTAAAACTGCGGTTGTCAGCCCCCTTGCCAAGCGTGGAAACTATGGCAAATATCCCTCTATAAAACAATCCATTGAAAATAAAAAAAATGTTCTGTTTTTATTTTTAATTCAGGATACATGTAAAATCTGTAAGCCACAGTATCCATTTACCATCAGGTGGACAGTGTGCTTATTTGTCGCCCTTATTAAAAAAATATAAATATATTTAGTAGTATAATTTGCAAAAATTTTGTACAACCGGCTTCATTATAAATTATTAAGAATAACTCAAAACCTATTGGTCAAACCTTGATCAAATTTATATTGGACCACATGTGAAGCACCAGCTTTCAAATAAAAAAGAATCATCAAAATCGGTTCACCCAGTAAAAAGCTATGTATGTAACACACATAAAAAACATACAGTCGAATTGAGTACCGTCTCCTTTTTTAAGTCAGTAGAAAATAAAGAAATTATGAATTTGTTACAGCTATGGTGGTCCAGCACGACTAACAATTGCAATGAATGCTTTGGCTACGTTCTTAAGAGATTTTGAACATATATCAGAGGTAAGACAAAGTTTTATAATTTAAAATAAAGAGGTTTGTATAGCCGACTTCAATATAAGTTATTAAGAATAAATCAAAAACTATTAGTCTGACCTTGATCAAATTCATATGGAACCACATGAGAAGGATCAGCTTTCATATAAAAAAAGAATCATCGAAATCGGTTCACCTAGTAAAAAGTTATGAGGTAACAAACATAAAAAACATACAGTCTAATTGAGTACCGTATCCTTTTTGGAAGTCGGCAGAAAAGTGTAATAATAATATTACAGTTGAAAAAAACTTATACAACACGCCATTGTTATGAATTATGACGATCGATTCTAGTGAGAATACTAGGTAATAGAAATGTAATAATTGTTCATTTTTTTAATGTTACCTCCACTCTATGAAATACTCTGGGTTAATTTCATAAGGACAAACATCCTGACCCGCAGCAATTATTTGTAACCATACATATACTTCTTCCATGCGGGATTCGAACCTGCAGTCCCAGCGCTGCAACTCATTGCTGAGCCACTGCGCCGCGGAGCTGTCATTGTTAACAGTTCTTACGCCTGTTCAGAGGATGCCACCAGTGGTTGTAAAATAAAAAAGAATTAGTGTAACTAACAACTTGCAGCAGGATAGCATTATTTCTTAACTAACCACCAGTTTATCATCAGTAATATCCTGCATGTTCGTATTTTTAACGTAGTGGCACTATGCTTCAGATTTATTATGGTTGTAGCACGAAAAGGTTGGCTTGATCGGAAAGGACCACGCTCTCACAGAATATCAGCGTAAAATAGCAGCATATTGCTGCTGTGTTTTGTATGGTGAGTGTAGAGAACCGGAGACCCATTTTACTGGAAACGAGGCATTCCGTCTTAGGCCTCACTTACCATCAGGTGGACTGTGTGCTTGTTTGTCATCCCTACCCTATAAAAATAATAACCTTTTTATTTAATGGCTTACTAGTGGCAGACTAGACATTTCCTATGATTTCGCTAGCATTTCAGAAAATTAGAAAAGTTTTGGCCGTGGCGCTTGTGGCACGACGGTAGTGCCGCCTCAAATCTTATGTCAATGTTTTGTTTCTTCTATATACTGTCGTGACACCGAATTCATAAATTACTATATTCTTTTTAGTTATTTGAAGTTTTTATTAAAAGGTATATAATAATAAAATTAAAACAATTTAATTATTTTCAGTTCCAAACCTGGTTGTACAGAAACCAACTTGCGCTTGGTGAGTCTTTCTCTGCTGGTGTAAATGTCATATCTTCAAGTATTGCGAACTTGCGATGGGGCAACAACGTAGCTGTGGAGTTAGTTAATGCTATCAGAAGTACAAATAATTCTGCCAGCTCTATCGCTGTGTCTGTTGTAACATTGTTAGCGGCTTTCGCTGTCAACTTATTACAGTAATCAATTTAGAAATTTTGTTTTAACTAAGAAAATAATAAATGTAAATTTATTTAAATAAAATTTATCTAATTTTTAAACGTTATTTCCTTTTAGATTATGATCGATCCTTTAGATTAGATATCCTGCAGGATTACTTTGTTATTTAATTCTTCTTATGATAATTGCTACATGAAATATTTTTGTTACTCATATAAGAGTGATAAGTAGCACAATGACACGATCCATCTGATGGTAAATAGACTGTGGCACATAGATACTTATCTCATCGCAATTTAGCCTCATCCTTAAAGACTAAGATGGAATGGATTTTTGTTACGTCGAACAGCGGGACCATAACATATTTGGAATATTTTTTATAAAGTTTTATCTACATAATATTTTGTCACAGAACCGTCAAAAAATCGAAGTATCTAGTAACCGAGCTTCACTAAATAACTATCAATTTATTAGGCATGGCAATTATCTAGATAAACTTGAAAAGTAAATAATTATCTAAATACAACATTTTATCCGAATTGTTACAACCGTTATCCGGCACACCGCCTGCAACTTTACAAGGCGCAAGTTCGGCCTCACATGGAATACTGTTCCCATCTCTGGGCAGGGGCTCCCCAGTGCCAGCTCCTTCCACTTGACCGCATCCAACGCAGAGCTGCTCGAATCGTCGACGACCGAGACCTTTCCGATCGGCTCGATTCATTGGCACTGCGAAGAGATGTTGCATCCCTTTGCATTTTCTTTCGCATCTACCATGGGGAGTGCTCTGAGGAATTGTTCGGATTAATCCCAGCCGCCAAATTTCACGAACGCACATCGCGGCAGAACTCCCGATACCATCCACACCATCTGGATGATTGGCGGTCCACCACTGTGCGATTTAGAAGATGTTTTCTTCCTCGCACGACCTCCTTGTGGAATCGATTACCATCAGCGATTTTACCGGACCGATACGACTTAGGGACCTTCAAGAAAAGAGCGTACTCCTTTTTAAAAGGCCGGCAACGCATCTGCGATTCCCCTGGTGTTGCAGTTGTTCATGGGCGGCGGTAGTCACTTACCATCAGGTGAGCCGCATGCTCGTTTGCCCCCTCTCCTATAAAAAAAAAGAAATCAATTACATAATAATATATACATATTATTTATATACAAGAATCATATAAGCATACAGAAATATAAAATTTAAAAGAGAAGGAAATTACGTATTCAAGTATTTACATATTCCATTTTGTAACTTTTGTTTTATAACACGTCCACATTATGTAACATTGCTTTTTAACATTGCAACATATAACAATAGTGCAATGCATTATAACAATGTTACATGACATTGTCGAATGTCGTTCTGCAGTGCTATTCACAATGTCGACACAAGAGGGCGTTTTGCTAGCTGCTGCAGCAACTCTTGTACTTTTAAATAACAAAAGAAAAGACATAGATACTGGGTTCGTCCTAGTTTATTGACTAGAGAAAAATACTCTCTAGTTATATAACACGTTTTTAACCTTCAGTCTCTACATTAATGAAACATGTTATATAAGAATGTTATGTTATATAATATGTACGAACCGTAACACACGAGATAAATATGATTCAAAGTCACTCCTTTATATATGATTCAATACCTTTTTAATTTTTTTTTTTGTAATCTACGGTTTGTAGCTGTATAAACTGTATAATTTGTAATGGAGCTGTAACTTAGCGATTCAACTTCACGTGAACTGTACACTCGGACCTGATCAGAGCTAAATTATGCACATCTACTAAGCAAATTGAAATAATTTATGCAGTTGAATTAAGTTAAATACTCAAACATTAAGTAATATTAAAAGAGGTTGAACAGTAATGGTTAAAATAGCTGTGACTCCTTTCATGCTTTGTTTTTCTGTTTTTTTTTTAGTTTTAGTGAAATTGGTTCATCACCATTCATCCTTACAGCCCTTTACAAGTCTACTGCTGAACTAGGCCTCCCCAAAGGAATGTCACAAAGTATGATTAAATGGCAAAAATGGTTTAATTATAATCAAATAAATTAAAAGAAAATGTATTCAAAATAACAGTTTTGCTTTTAGGCAAAAGAAAGTAAGGTAAAGTTACAACCCATTTATGTCCCACTGCTGGGCATAGCTTGCTCGTATAATTTCTTCCTTATTGTATATTAAAAAAAACGTTGTCTTAAATCTACGTCACGTAATTACGTAAAGTATGTAATAAATTTTGTTTTTAATTTCATTGTTTGATTCGAATTCCACGTGTATTTTATTGTTTTATTATACTTTCTAAGTTGTATTGGGGCTTGTTTTTACATTTTTTTTATAGGAGAGGGGGCAAACGAGCATGCGGCTCACCTGATGGTAAGTGACTACCGCCGCCCATGAACTACCGCAACACCAGGGGAACCAGGGGCATTGCAGATGCGTTGCCGGCCTTTTAAAAAGGAGTAAGCTCTTTTCTTGAAGATCCCTAAGTCGTATCGGTCCGGAAAAATCACTGGTGGTAATCGATTCCACAATGAAGTTGTGCGAGGATGAAAACATTTTCTAAATCGCACAGTGGTGGACCGCCAATCATCCAGGTGGTATGGATGGTATCGCAAGTTTTGTCGCGATGTGCGATGGTGAAATTGAGCGGCTGGAATTAGTCCGGATAATTCCTCAGAGCACTCCCTGTGGTAAATGCGATAAAATACGCAAAGAGATGCAACATCTCTACGCAGTGCCAGTGTATCGAGCCGATCAGAAAGAACTCGGTCGTTGACGATTCAAAGTGCTCTGCGCTGGATGCGGTCAAGTGGAAGGAGCTGGCACTGGGTTGCCCCGGCGCAGAGATGAGAACAACCCTCCACCTCCCATGGCCCCACCGACCCTCAGGTCATACGGGCCGAATCTCGGGAGATGCGCGCGGTACTTGCACGTGGCTCTTTCCCGCGCACACTTTCTTGACTCCCTACAAATATTTAATCTATTCCTTGTCCCAGTTTAACGTCATTCTCCCCCTTCTGGGGCTGACGACACATTGACGCCTACGTCGTCGGGCGCTCCTACCAGCCTTCCATCCTGCCTTGTCCTGCGATCGTGCCACCTATGCGCAAACTCGCGCAACAGTCCGTAGTTTACCACATCGCTGACGAGATCCGAGTAGTAAACTGGTCCCTGAACCGGACGAACTAGTCCATCCATCATTTTCACTCTTAGGTCATCATACAGAGGACATTCCCATAGAACATGGTGAACATCCTCCTCCGACATACCGCACTCACACATACTAATTTCACACAGTTTCATATCGCTCAGTCTCTTCCGAAAGCATCCATGTCCGGTGAGAATCTGAGAGGTTTGGTAGTCCGGTGAGACCCAGGTATAACTGAGTCTCAACGCCACGTCCGGGAAAAATCGATGTAGCTCACGTCCTTTTGTATCACACGTCCATCTATCCTGCCAGGCGCCTATCACCTCAGTCCAGATATCGCGATTCCGTCTGCTCAACTCCTCTTTGGGCGCGGTTAAACGTGCTATACCCATCCTACCAGCACGGATGACCTCTAGGTCAGCAGGGAGAACGCCAGCCAGCACCGGTAAGGCCGCCGTGCTAGTGGATCGGTACGCCTTGGTTAACAATACAAGAGCGCATCGCTGCGATCTCAGTAGTACGCTACGAACTGTGTACATGTTTGCACGCTCGTACCAGCACTCTGCCGCATACGTAAGCGTGGACACAAAAACTCCTCTATAAATTAATTTTAAACTCGGATATCGTACACCCCATGATGATGTAGATACGCGAGACATCTTGCCGAATCCCTTGGTCGCTCTTTCAGAGATATCGGATGCATGTTGCACAAAGGATAGTCCCGAGTCTAAAACCACGCCTAATACCTTAACGTTAGTCACTGTCTTAATAGATTCCCCACCAAGTTTAATAACGGGGGGGCGCTGAAGTTTCCCTCTAACAGTCATGGTGGTCGACTTTGAGGAGGAAAACTCCAGTCGATTCCTTAGCCCCCACTCCCGTACAAGGTCCAGAGTGACTCTGGCCCTGGATTCGATACCCGCTCTCGTACCCGAATTCAATCAAGATTGTAACATCATCGGCATAGGCAGTCATGGCTACTCCCTCGGGCAGAGGGAGTCGGAGCAGGTCGTCCATCAGCACATTCCACAGTGTTGGGCCCAGCACGGAGCCTTGAGGACATCCCATGGTCGACGTCTTCCACTCTACCCAGTCTCCGATGTAGAGGCCCACACGCCTGGAGGTGAAGTAGTCCACCAACATTCTATAAATGTTGGGTGGACATCCACCCCTTTTGGCCTTGACCATCATCATCGGCCACCAGGCATTGTCGAAGGCGCCGGAGATATCTAAGAATATTGCTTGCACGTAGCATGCCTGAGAGTACCTTGCCGTGCTGAGCAGTACACGCAGCGCTGTTACTGTAGACCGCCCCGGAGAAAATCCGTGCTGGTACTCGGATATCCCGCGGCTAATCGCGGGAGCACATCTTAAAATGACTCGTTCTAATAATTTTCCCAAAACAGGGAGGAGCGTTATTGGACGGTATGCCTTGACGTCGGTGAGCGGCTTGTCATTACCCTTGGGAATGACAATCAGTCTTCCGTCCTTCCATACATTGGAGAAAACCCCCTCTTCCACACACTTGGCATACACCGAGTGAAATTCCCTCGGTGCCGCAATCCACACATTCCTCACGATTCTCGCACTCACTCCATCGAGTCCCGGAGCCGTGTTGGGCAAGGCCTTAACTATACCACCCAGTTCCTCAACCTTAAGTGGAGGCGCAGCTCCACCCGACGGCATGAAAGCCGCCAGCAGACGAAACTGCCGGTGATAAGGCGAGTCGCAGTCAGTGCTGTCATCCGGACAGAGCGCAGACATTAATTTATGCATCGCTGCTTCCAGACCGTCCGGGTGTACACCCGCAAAGGCGATCCCATTGATCACATTTGCAGGCGGACGTACCCTGCCGCTGGAGAGCCTGTATGCAA